GGATGTTTATTAAAGCTGGAGACAGTGAAATAAGGAAGGACCTAGGATAACAGGAGGACTAGATGGGAAATGACCCGAGGCTAAGCTGCTCTGGCTCACTAAGTCAGAAAAAAGGGGGCCTGGGGACAGGTTCAGGGGTTTGCCTGGAACAAACTGCCGCTGTCCATTGCTACCCTAGTTGCAAGCCTTGTGGGTTCCCTTAGAGTTTAGGAGATGCACACCTGTAGGGGAAGTAGGGAGTGGGGGGGCAGGCATGCTCCTGGAAGGAAGAGTGCACTCTGGGACCTTCATTTTGAGGGCTTTTTAAAGGCTGGGCATTTAGTGGAGGTCTTAGGGGAGGATCTCAATAGAATATTCATCAGTTTTAGGCTGCTGTGCCAAAATGAGATTTATTCCCTCAACTTAATCCGTCCTTGGCTGTGGTTGGCAAATAGCACTAATTGGATTTCTGCTGTCTCCCTGAGTAGGTGATTTAAGCTTTTTACCCTCTGGGGACAAGAAGTGCAAAGTGTTTATTCTTAAGTTTCCTTGGTTTAGGGAAGATAGAGTTTACTAGATGGCTGCAAACTGCTGTTGAACTATCTGTCTCAGTTTCCCTCTTCTGCTTGTCCTGACTTACTAGCCTATCTCAGTAACATGTCCAAGACCCAAGATCCAAGTGGGCCAAGAGAGATGTCCTGGCTGCCCACTATAGCCTCTGACTCCAAAAAGAAGGGAAGATTTGAATGTAATTGTTTACACAAATGCACTACTTATTTAGTTGACTGATATTTCTGCTTCCCAGATAAGTGACTTTATCAGTAACAGAAAAGAGCCTGAGGCTGCTACCACTCCCTTTTCTGCCTAAATATTCTCTCATAAATGAATCCTAATAGAGTTGGGAAAATGAAGACTAGGGGTAAATATGAAATTCCCTGGCCAAATATCTCCTGTTTCCTTGGGAGATGCAAAGTTCTTACATATCAAGTTAGAATCTAGTCAGCCTCACCAGAGAGAGGTCTGTCCCCACTGACCAAACAAATGATTTGTGGAGCCAGCCTCTCAACAGTGTATGGCACCTTTCTTTTTCAAAGCAGATGTGTTTGGGGGAGACACATTTGCTGTTCAGTCTGAAAAGCTGTACTTGTTTCAAGCTTCACTTTTGAAAGCATGCTATTTTCCTAAATAAATGCACAGTTTTCCTGCTTTTTATTAAAAACTGAAAACTACATCTAACCCCACACTTATTTGGGACTGTAGTAGGTGGATACTGCTGACCCCAATGAATTGATTTCTATACACCTCTCCCAAGGCCATTTCTACCACCTTTGCAAAATGTACTATTTTAACCATGTTTAAGTGTACTGTTGAGTGGCCTTAATGACATATCATTGTGTAACCATCCTGCTCCACATCTCCACACCTTTTTCATCCCAAACTGAAACTCTGTACCCGTTAAATAATAATTCCCCATTTCCCCTTCCCCCAGCCCCTGGTGATCACTATTCTATGAAGTCGACTACACTCTGTACCTCGTGTAAATGGAATCATACAATACTAGTCCTTTTGTTTCGTGCTGCTTCCCACTTAATGTTCTCAGGGTTCATCCATGTTAACATGTCTCAGGTTTTGTTTATCCATCCATTGATGGACATCAGGGTTGTTTTCATCTTTTGGCTATCATGAATAATGCTGCTATGAACATTGGTGTAAAAATACTGGTCAGGTCCCTGCTTTCAGTTCTTTCGGATTCATATCCAAAAGTGAAATTGCTGAATCATATGGTAATCCTGTTTAATTTTTTGAGGAAATGTTATATTATTTTCCACAGTGGCTGTACCATTTTGTATTCCCACCAGCAATGTACAAGGGCTCTAATTTCTCCACATCTTTACCAACACTTTTTATTTTGGGTTGTTGGGGTTTTTTTATAGTAACCATCCTAATGTCTATAACAATTAGTGATGCTGAGCAGATATCTTTTCATGTGCTTATTGGTCATTTGTATATCTTTGGAGAAATGACTATTCGAGTCTTTGCCTATTTTTTAATTTGGTTGTTTTTTATTGTTGCTGGTGTAGGAATTCCTTATATATTCTGGCTATTAATCCCTTAACAGATCTATGATTTACAAACATATTTCCCCATTTTGTGGGTTGCCTTTTTAATCTGTTGACAGTGTCCTTTGCACAAAAGCTTTTTTTAACTCTTAGGTTTAGGTTTTTGATCCATTTTGAGTTAATTTTTATATATGGTGTAAAGCAAGGATTCAACTTTTTTTTGCATGTATATATCCAGTTTTCCTAGCACCATTTATTGGAAAGACTGTTCTTTCCTCATTGAATGTTCTTGGCACCAGTATTGAAAGTCATTTGACCATATATGCAAGAGTTTATTTCTGGGGTTTCTATCTATCCCATTGATCTATATGTCTGTCTTTATGCCGGTACCATACTCTTTCAGTTACTATGGCTTTATAAGTTTTAAAATCAGAAAGTGTAAGGTCTTCAACTTTGTTCTTCTGGTTTAAGATTGTTTTGACTACTTGGAATCTCTTAAGATTCCATCTGAATGTTAAGATAGATTTTTCTATTTCTGCAAAAAATCATCATTGGGATTTCAATAGCCATTGCATTGAATCTGTAGTTCACTTTGGGGACAATTGACATCTTAACAGTATTAAATCTTCCAATCCATGAACATGAGATATCCACCCATTTATTTACATTTTAATTTTTTTAGCAATGTTTTATTTTCAATGTACAAGTCTTTTATCTCCTTAGTTAAGTTTACTCTTAAGTATTTTTATCCTTGTCAATATTTTAAATAGAACTGTTTTCTTAATTTCCTTTTTAGATTGTTCATTGTTAGTGTAACACTTAATTCAATTTATTGGCCTTAGTAGTCACATGGTCAAACCCAAAGTCAGGGAGGAGGTAGGGAAGTACAGCCCACCCATCATGGGAGAGTGCTGCAAAGTTACATGGCAGAGTAAGTCAATACGGGGAAGGGTGAAGAATTGGATCCTATAACACTATATTCCACACTGAGCTTCCCACGCAGATTTTAGCATCATTTTCCCAGGGCCCTTCTTCAAAGTAGTCTGTTTCAACCCCTCCAACCTACACAATTACAATGAAAATGTGAAAGAAGGAAGGAAGGGAAGGAGGGAGGGAGGAAGGAAGGAAGGAAGGAAGGAAGAAAGAAAGAAAGAAAGAA